CAAAGGTTGTAACGTCACTGTTTTTTTTAACTAATGAGGCAATCATAAAAAGAGTATAAAAAACAATTCTTCTTCGTTTCCCCTTTTAAGGCTTTTTATTATTCATAAATATCAACTGTGAGACGTCATTCTAAGTCGTCTACACTTTACTAAATAGTCGTTTAATAGAAATATTACGTCAAATAAAGGCATAGTATAATGTATATGTATTAGAAATATAAGCCAAATTACGCAAAATTTAGATAAAACTAAAAAATATATACAATAAATAAACATAAATAAAATACTAAATATATAAAACAGAATATCTCATTGTTGTGCTTCTGCGAAATAACAACTATGATTATAACATATTATCTTACTGTAATCGACTTCTGATATGTTTTAATCTGGTTAAAATTTTACCAAATTAATGAATTTACGAAGGTATTGATTAAATGCGATCTCTTTGATAAAGAGTAAATTAAAATTCATCCACGGTATACGTTGTCAAAGGGAAAATTGATTAAAATTAAGTCGTATTTATAATTAATCCAGAGCCAAAGATAATATGCTTTTATAATTATTTTATATTTAATATAAATAAGGATTTTGTTAAAGAAAACTTAATCTGAAATTAAGACACGCTGGTTGGAAAGAAAATTCAATAATAAAAACAATGAAAATCGACTATGTTTTAGATCAAGTAAAACAAAACAAAATCCATAAAGGGCCACTACACTATACTCCCATTGGATAATTAGAAGTTTTTTTAAAGTTTAGTTTAGAATAAGGTCTTTAGCGCTTGTGATGTCATTACTATCCTACTAATATTACAAACGCTAAAGTTAATAAGTATGGATGGATGTTACTCTTTCACGTAAAAACTACGGAATGGACTTTAATGAAACTTTAAAATAATATAGCTTATACTTTATAACACATAGGCTACAATTTATAAAGATATTGTGTGAATTATCCAAAATATCAAGTAAGAAGAAAAAAATCTACCATCTGCGAACTATTCTGGCGTACACTGCCAAAACCGCTAGAGTAACACATATGAAATGTTAAAAATAATCTTAAATAGTCTTTAGTAGTTTTTTCTACGCCACGCTAATATAAGCTACTCGAAATACTAATTGCGAGACTAAGTCGCCGGCACTAGCTAGTTTATATTAAAAACGCTCGTTTGCTTTTTGTGTCTAATCAACGGCAACGCACTTGCGATCGTTATGGCAAAGTGTCTGTCTCCGTCTAAAGAGTTATGTACTATAAGTGAATGAAATGTGTAAGTAAGTAACTAAACTAAGTTATTCCTTCCAAATGTTGTTTCGGCCTTTTTTGATAGTTAAACAATTGAAACCAATGGGATTGATTACCCAGATGTTGACAGGTCACGATTCTTGTCGTATCTTTACGGGTTCTGGGTTAGACAAAGTGCTTCCTGTTCTTGTAGCAATACAGATGACGAGACTATATGTCCTGACTGATTGTCCAATGTATGGATACGACAGATATAACACTGACGAAGCTATCCCATAGCTTTTTCAGTGTGATAAAAGTAACAGAGACGAAGTTAAAGAAATAATTTTCAACAAAAGGTTAAGAGGCATCTTTTTGGAATTTGCTGTAAAGGTCATACAAAAAGTTGTTAAAAGAAATAGGTAAATAATAATAATAAAGCCCGTTTTATTTTCAATCATGACAAAACAAATTATAATATACAGCTTAGATTATTAACATTTTTTTTTTTTTTTCCCCTTCACGGGTATAGACCTTCTCCAGCTTTTTCCAACTGACTCTGTCTATGGCTCTCTTTCTCCATTCGTTGCCTGCTATCGCTTCTATTTCTTCTATCCACCTTTTTTTGGGTGACCGCTTTTCTCCTTCTTCCTCTTGGTCCTTTCCAAAGAAATAGGTAGCATTACTTATGTTGTACATATACGTATGTTATTAAATACCTCCGAAAAATCTCCTTCGGGGAATTAAATAACGAAAGCAAAAAAAAGCGAATAAAATACCGTCATATTTAAATGACATTATTATTAACGATAATTATACACTCCCGTTGCTACAATAAACGAATTATTATCAAGCCAACATAACGATGACGCCAAGTCGGTCAGAAGTAATGTGACTCGCCTCGCCGTGTATGTGTTTATAAAAGCGCTTTACAAATATATGAATCCAATCACGTAAGTAAATCCTCACTCATCTAGTAATAATTATGAATCTTATGGAGTGTAAAAGTAGTTGGTTAGTTAGAGCTAAGTTTAATTAAAGCGGTCGAAGTCAGTGCTCAGTTTTCAAGACTTTGCAATCGATTTTTCGTTCTGTTCTATTCTCTCGGGTGAGATTTACTACATTCGAACCGGGCTTTGTTAAATTGCTTATGTCTTGTAACGGTTTGTTGGAAATCAATTATTGGCGTTTCTTTTAAACTTTTAATCTGAGAAAAGTTGTAACGTTAGTTTATTTTATCACAATTTAAGAAGGAATACGTGTATATACCAATAATACATTTCGTTGGCATTTGAGTGATCTTTATTACACGGGATGTTACCTGCATTTTCAAAGTGATTTGTCTCTTTGTGTAATTGATTAAAAACTTCCGTACTTTGGCTATTCTGTAACCAATTTTATCCGTAACTAACCTAATTCTTATAGGTTTAGTTACAGATAAAATAGATAGGAATCAATCAATTAAGTTACGGATAAAATTCCGATAGGAATCAATTAAGTCTAGGAAGAAAGTAAAAAATTCTCTGTTTTAATTGGTGTAAATGCCCGAGTTCAATTGTAAAATGTTTCGGGTTTTTAGTTATAGAAGGCTGACCATCCAATCAGAGGGTAATTAGATATTCTTTAACATGCCTTTAACAATGAAATATTCAGCCTATGCTCCAATAGGGGGTAATGTTTCAAACAATATTTAATGATACAATTGGTACGATTATTCAAAAAAAGGTCAAAAGAATTAACGAATTCACCAGTGTGCATCTGACCCAATAAGACAAAAATAAGTTACATTGATAAAACTCCAATTGCAAGTTACCGAGCAGCTTCGGCCCACTAATTTACTTTTAAACATATGTTTTTAGATTACACATATGATGTTAGATATACTGTTTTGTGCATAGTTTGTATCAGATAGCGCTTTTACTTTCCCATCCTGGGTAAAGGGAAAAAGCGTAAGATATCTTGGCTGCGTAATGTTTGCGACTTAATAGGTGGTATAGATGGGTACCAAGAAAATGCTGCATTTGGACACGGTTTTTAAGACTGACTGGCCACCTTCACGAGCCAGAAGAAAGAGTTTTACATTAATTTAAAGAAACGTTTACAAGTATGAAACTTGTTTTGTATCAACAATTTAGAGTTTCAAAATTGCCTAATACAGTGTTGGCAAACAATATAATAATTAATGTTAATCTCGAGTCAACCTTGGATACAATAAATAGCTTTAATATCTAGTCTATTAAACGTCTACAATACCTATTGATAGATTATAATTATAAAAATAACAAGTACCTATTAACAGAAGTAAAATATGGAAACTCGTGGACGCAATGTTTACGCGGTATCTCAGTTTCAGGCTGGTTCTTAAATGTTATTTCTGTGTTGGTGTCAAAACGACACTGCGCTAAAAATGTATGTGAGGTGAAGGGGGCAGCGCCCACGCACTGCCCGCCGCGCCTTGCCGCCCGCCCAGCGCCAGTCAGCAACTGTGGCTCGTGTTGGCTGAACCATCTTAGGGCCATCCTCTTTTTCTTTGCCGTAGGTGAGTTCCAGTGATTTTTAAGTGAATATGTGAAGTGGTTAGCGGTAAGCGTGCTTTGTGCGAGGACAGTGAATTAATAATTTTGATATGTGCCGATTATTGACGTCACATTTTGAAAGACGACTTTAAAATATTAATTGAATAATTGACATTGAATTGTCGATAATTTATAATGACATCTGTCAATTCAAATATTTAATTGCAAAATAATTAATATTTAAATAATGATAAAATTTTAAAAGTATACATTTAAATCACTAACCAATGTTAGATAAAATGGTAATGTGATGTTTTAAGTTAAGTTACTATGACGTCATCAGTGTCAAATTACCCCAGTGACATCATCGGTTACTACAAATAACATTGGATTATCTTAAGTGACGTCTTCACCGTGCCGTGTCGAAATTACATGTAACCGAAGAAGCGTGTTCGCGACCAAATTAGGATGCGCGGGAGTAGCTACGCGCGACCTATTTCAGTAACGCACGATGCGCTCCGAATTTATCCGAATTTCCCCGAGGCTTAACACGTTTACCATGCTATGTCTTCGAAATGGAAAACATTTTTCACAACACCCGTAGCCGTTGAAATAATTTTTAACGTGACCTAATTCATGTTAAGAGCATACTTTGGAAATTATGCAATAATTTAAACCGTGTCGCTTTAATATTTCATCAGTGCCGATAAAATTCGAAATAATTTAAAGGAAATAGTATGTATCAGATATCGCACCTATGGAATAGTGCCAAATATACTTTATCGTTAATCCTATCGTGAAATAAAAGTATTAGCCCTTAATGCCTGCATCTAAAATATAATTCGTAATTGTGATAGATTTTGTAATTGCAAGCAAATTTTCACTTCTTTTTTCCATTATAAAATTTACAGTGATATTTTTTATTTGGAACACAATTTGTTCTACAGCGGAATAGTGTAGTAATATAACTCTTCATTGGAACAAAATTTAAAAGGCAGTAGATTTTTTTATTGGATAACGAGGGTTCTGAGAAATGGATGAACTTTGATTAATTGAGTTGACCTTGATTGACATATATTTCTCTTAAGGAAACGAGGATTTCGATATTGCAAAAGTAGATCAAGTTAATTACAGATTTAACGTTGTTATTTTTTAAAGTCTAAGAAAATCCTAAGTCTGATTTAAAAAAAAAAAAATAGTTTTTATTATTTTGATTTAATATTTTTTTTTAATTACAGACACTAAACTCAGACATTCACAATGGCGGATGATGACGTAAGGTAATGTACAAAAAGAGATTTATAGACATTTTATAAGAATGATTGATTTCTTATCTTTAAGCCAACCGTAAAGAAAAAAAATGTATTCGTAAATGTTTGCTTCTGTTTCACTAATCATTTTTGATATTTTTGAAGTAAGCATTCAAAGAAATATTTTTGAAAATTTACTGAAAAAATACGAAAGCATAATACTTGTAGAAGAATATTTATACAGGTACTCAGTGTTGCTCATAAAAATAACTTTTATGAAATTTTACGAGAAACTTAAAATATATAAACCAACCATTATCCACTATAGAAGCATGGAATGGACCTTATGAAAATTCACTGACTAGACGAAGTTTCGTTAAATCTAATATATAAAATTCTCCTCGTGTCACGGTGTTTGTAATTGAACTCCTCCGAAATGGCTCGGCCGATTTTCGTGAAATTTTGTGTGTATATCGACTAGGTCAGCGAATCGGACATCTATTTTTCATCCCCCTTCATCTTAAGGGTGGTCCCATATTTTTTTAGACAAAATTTTTGGTTTTTATTTTTTTATGATACAGCATACAAAATTAAGGGTTGTCTGTAACAACCCTTAATTTTCACCCCTCTACTATAAACCCCAATTTTTTATTATAGTAATTAGTTATTTTAATTGAACTAAACAAATTTTTACTAGAAATAATTCATGGCAAAATATAATTTGCCGGGTCAGTTAGTTGTTTATAAGCGATTTCATGTGCTTATAAATAAATAATAAATACTTAGTGATTATATAAATATTCTTCTTCAAGTGTGTTATGCCCTTTGCTCATATTAAACCATTCGCAAACAAAGTTCGTAATATAGTATGAACATTTCATTAAACTTCTGCGGTATATATCAAACAATGAGAACTTAGAGTTAATGAAAGACCAGGGGGCCTACCATGAACTCTTATTGCGAGCCTATTGACAACCTACAACTGAGATGCATCGCTAATTGGTACCATGACATCGAAAAAACGAGACAGTTTATGTTCCCACGTGACCTTAGCGGTTATCAGATTTCGTTCGTTCAATTTGTATGAAAATCCGTACCATGACCGCTCGGCTGAACCGAAATTTGACAGTCGCGCCTTCCAACTATGACAGAATAAGCGATTCTAAAAAAGTTACTTTTTGTTCAACTTTTTTGTATCGAAATGTCCAAATAATAGTTTAGAACCTATAAAATTCAATATTTGTATTAAAACTTGTTAATAAAGTTAAAATAATAAGATTTATCTACTATGGCTAATATAGGAAAAAAAATATAATTTTTATATTTACGATATTTTGAGTTTAGAGTGTGATTATAAATAAATTATTAAAATATAGACGGAGATGAGAAACAAGACGGCGATGCCCTTCCGACTACCGACTTCGTAGATATTAAGTTTATAATTTACTATAGATTATTGACTTTGATTCATTGAAGATTTCAGTGTACCTACAAATAATTGTTCACATGCACATTGTTCAATAATATTCAATTAATTATTTATGCATGTCTAACAAAAACATAATCCCCCAATATAATATCATATTTTACAATAAATAAGAATGCCATATTACTAGCAGATATTTATTATAATTAAATTTTTCCTCACTATGTTCATGAATTGTATTATTCTCCTCTGCTTTTTGTTGTTTAAAAAAACATAGGTATTTTTAAATTTATAATGTGTAAAGAATAAGCCATTTAAAAATATTAGAATAACAGTATTTATTTAGTTAGGATGACTCCATCAAGATAGAAAAAAAAGATGTCTTCAGGCAATGTTCAATTAGTTATAAACATTTATTCATATAGTCTCAATTTCGCGATTTTGTCAGGTTAAGCTGTAAAGAAAATTATTATTATAATTATAGCCTCTTTATTTCCATAATGAATAACATATTAAACAAGTATATCATATGATTAATTATTACATAATATGTGCATGCATTAAAAAATACAATATTATTATTTATAATCTTTAAATTATATTCCAATCATAATTAATAATTTCAATGTATATAAGTTTGAAATGATAAATAAATTAATAAGAATCAAATACAAAATTCATTTTTATAAATCATTATAAAGTATCATTAAATCGTTATGGACCCCTCTACGGGTAAAGGCCTCCTCCATTTTGCTCCACATCTGTCTGTCTTTTGCTTTGGTGGTCCAGTTTTCACCAGCTTTTCTTTTTATTTAATCAATCCAGTTTTACTTTGGTCTACCTCTTAATCTTTTTGTTGGTTCTCGCCAGGTTACCCTTGGTGTCCATTTTTCCTTGTCCATGCGAGCAGTAAGACCCGCCCAATTACATTTTTGTCTAAAGCGTCTATTATTTTTGTTGTTTTCCTTATTTCTGTATTTCTCTTCCGATGTTGTCTTTGTATGTTTAGTAGACTCCTTTCCATCGTTCTATGGCACACTTGTATTTTGTTTTTGGTGTAGTTATTGTAAATCCATGTCTGGAAGCCATATGTAAGACAAGGTATTAAATATGAGTCCATAATTTTTTTCTTAAGTTTTAAAATTCTGATTTAAGGGTTTCTTTATTGCTCCAGGATTTATTCCAGGTTATGTTGACTCGTCTTTTAACCTAATCGTTGTGTCTTGTCTTTGAGAAAGATACTTGTTGACCCAGGTAAACATATTGTAATGTACTGTTATTAAACTTTATTGGAATAGTTTGGTGGTTCGTCATAATAATAATCTTTCATTTGATAGAATTGATTTTGCATTGTAAGGGCATACATCGAAGTTTTGTAGTGGAGATGGAAGGTTGTAGTCATTATCCCCCGCGGTGTCGAGGTGAAGAGGGGCTTTCCTGTAAAGAAAGTATAATTATTTATATTATATGAATTAGTTAACGTATAAATTGAGTTTGTACAATTTGAAGGAATTATTTTTTATTATAGTTACTTATGATTTTAGAGTAATAAGTTGATTTGTAATATCTTTTGCAAAGGGTTTTATATCAGTAATTCACTTCGTTATAGGTATTTATTTTTAATAAACAAATTTGTGAACAATACTTACCCCATACCATAATTTTATAAGTTAAACAATTTGTAAATATATTTATAAAACCGAAATTTTGTAAACACCAAAATATTGAAAGCTCCTATCAAAATTTGAAAGAAACGTTTAAAAATAATAAGTGTCAACTGTCATAGCACCAGAGAACTTTCCGTTTAAAATATATCAAAATAATAGTTTTATATAAAATAAATATATATATTAAGACATAATAGCTTATTGTGATTGATGAATTAATTAAAATAATTTTATATTTTATTTATTTTCATAGGAACATCTGTCGAAGTAAGTTTGACAGTTAAATTTCTAAACGTACTCAGAAACCACAAACAAAATTATCGTTCTTTCATTCGGTCTTGCGATGCTAATACGTTTCAGCTTATAGGCGGTCATGGTACGAAAAAATGCTATTGACTTTAGGTACCTAAACTCCGCTGCATCTCAACTGGATTGTTTTAAGAAAGTTCATGGTAGGCCCCCAGATATTGATGTTGTCACAAAACGGAATAGTGTAATTTAAAACTCTACATAATATTTGTATATTTTAGCGTAATTAAAATATTTATTGTCTTGTTAGCGTGTATGTTATTATAACTATGTACTAGCAAATGAAGAGATAGTTGTAATTAAATTAATTAGTGATAAAATTGTTGATTTTATAATGTGTCTTTCTCTGTTACATGTTCCATTTCATCATGTTGACTCAATCATCGCGTGTACCGTGCCACAAATGCAGTATTAAATACAATATCTCCTTGAGACTAAGGTAACTAATAAATTAACATTTTAATAATAATAAAGCCTTCTTTAATTCCATATCCTTAATTTCCATTTCAAGTTCAATTTAGTACCCCTTTTGGGTTAAGGATCCAACCCTTTCCAATAATTTTTACCTGCTATTTCTATCAAGTCATCAGTCACCTTATTTTTTTGACCTGCCCACTCTTCTCTTCCCGGGTCTCTTCCATTATGTTGTCTTTGGTTTCTAAAGAAACGTTTAGTAAATTAATATATAACAATACATATAGTTAACTGAAAGTATGTACCCTACTAGTAGTACCCTTAGCACAAACTTATCGATTCTCAAGTAATGAATATGACAGTTTTTGACAAGTAGATTTGATATTACTATTCGAACGATGTGTTTCTGCATAGTTTGATTATTATTTTGTCTCTTACAACGATTGCTGATTAAAAACGCCGAGTTATGTTAAAAATGTAATGAATTTTCGTGAATCATTAGCATCATGAATTAAGTTTTATTATTATTACTTTTGATTTCAAGTATGTCTATGAGTATTGTTTATGCTAAGGGTAACAAACAGACAAAAAACCTTAAACAACAGGAACCTGTCTACAAAATATTTTACTGACAAACATTACACGGCATTTTTGAAAGCCTACGTCTACAAACGTAAGGACGAACTGAAGTATTGTAAGTCTATAACTGTATTTATAGATAACAAATGCTTTAGCCGAAGATAATTGCCTAATAAAACACATAACGCATTTTTATACAATTACAACTACCATAGACACTAGCACAAAATAACGTACATCATATTATCTTCAAATAATCATTTTAAAATTTATATTGTTATTTGTAACGTTTTTTTGTTTTTTTTACAGAAAAAGCGTCTCGAGGAGGTAAAGTAAAGAAGACGTCGCCACAAACATTAACCACACCCACTTTTTATGTTACACTAAATAAATAATCATATATTTGTTATTTGTCATATATGTTAAAAAAAATATTTTATATTCATTACACTATGTTTAATTTGTTACTGTGAAGAAGCTTTTCTTTTGATTTTGAATAAATAAATATATTTATATTAAAATTGTTAAATTTCAAGCTAACACATAGTATCATGATTTACACTTACTTCAGGCGAAGAAGGCCAAACAGGCCGAAATCGACCGCAAACGCGCTGAGGTGCGCAAGCGCATGGAGGAAGCCTCCAAAGCCAAAAAGGCCAAGAGAGGTTTCATGACACCAGAGAGAAAGAAGAAGCTTAGGGTAAGTACATTACGGTAGCTATGTCCTCTATCTAGAAAAAGTAAAACATTTTCTAGATAGCTCCTTAAAAAAACTTTTAAAAGACTAGATGACTCCATTACAATTAGAAAGACTACGAGAGATCGAGATTATTTAATTTTCTAAGCTGATTTTATTTACTTTAAGAGTCGAGTTTAGAGTTCATCTTCTTCTGGTGCCACTGAATTGTTAAAGGTTAGCTGTTAACCACTTGAACTGCCAAGTATCTTGCGTTAGTATAAAAAGTTCCGCGGCGGATGTGATGCCAGTCCACTCCCGTACATTCCACAACCACGACTTTCTCCTACCAGGACTTCATAAACACCATCATATTTAAATTGAAATATCATTACTAACTTTGATGTTCGGAAACAGTTGCTCCTGCGTAAGAAAGCCGCTGAAGAGTTGAAGAAGGAACAGGAACGCAAAGCAGCAGAAAGGAGGCGTATTATTGAAGAAAGGTGCGGCAGACCCAAAAACATTGACGACGCAAACGAAGGTAAATCCTATTCGGTAACATGACAATTTTCAAACAAATATCAAACACAATTGGCGTAATGTCATCACAGATACCATTTTCATTTGAACTACTGGACTCGCGTCCACACAGGTCACTTCGTTTCTGTATTTTATAATAATATGTCGAATTATAGATGCTATTTCAAGAGTTTGCAAAGAATACCACACCCGCATCGCGAAGCTCGAAGATGAAAAATTCGATCTGGAATACATCGTTAAACGAAAAGATATGGAGGTAGCAAAACCTGCCACGTTGGGGCGCTGTCCTATTATAACATACTTCTATTCTTTTGTATTTGTCGAAGTGCCGTGGCGTCTCTTTCCATCTTGTAACCTTCAAACGGCCTTATAATTTCTAATGCGTATCTATACACTAAATATTACTATAACAACTCGCGACTTTCTTTAATTTCTTGTAACTTTTTCTTCACTCACCTGTTGATGTCCTTTACATTTGCGCGACCAGGAATAGGAATGTAGGAAGTAACCATTGTTGATTTTGTAGCTGCTCTTACGAGCATCGTTACGGGCTATCATCAGCGTATCGCCCAGCTCGAAGAGGAGAAGTACGATCACGAGATGGAAGTGGCCCGCAGACAGCTCGAGGTCTGGAGTATTTTGGGCAAATCAAAATTAATAAAACGCTGTTTTTCGTAGTTCATGCAAGGCCAACATGTGACTAGTAAACGTTATTGTTTTGTTTTCGCAGTCGACTCATTCTTTTCATCCGGAGCTGAATATTCAATTTAACTGTGGATAACAAATTTAATCGCTGCTAATACGTAGTTCCTCAATTGCAACCACCGGAGCGCAGCTGTCAGTTGTAGAATAAATAGCGGTATAGACGAAATGCAAAGTAATGACCACTGGTTATATACTTAAATTTTTGTCATGTAGCTTCGCTTATGCTTTATATCCAGTAGAAAACAACTCTTCCCGTTCAGACGTACACTGTCCACATAAACATCAGATAGGGAGAAAACGGTACAGATTATAAAATCTTTCTCTAAATAAATTATGTTTTTCTTTAGCGGAACTCCAGACGATATGTCAAATGTACTGGCACAGAATATTCAACCTTGAGGGGGATAAGTGGGAACTAGAACGAGCATTGCAAGTTAGGAAAATGGAGGTAATCTGCATATTAGGATTGGAAATGCGTATGACGTGCTATGATTTTGATCTTGATATAGATGTGACGACATGACATGATAGTTTACGGCTCACAGCACACATGCACACGTTGCCTCCACCAACAGAACAGGTCACTCACACAGATATCCATGCCCATTTTGCAGGCTAAATAATTTGTCTTCCTTTTTCTCTAGAAATGCTCAAGAGAATAATCCAGGAGTATTATGACCGCGTATATGTGTGTGAGGGCCAGAAGTGGGATTTGGAACACGAAGTCAGGAAAAGAGATTTCGAGGTATTGATCAGTAATTTAAGGCCACTGTGAATATCACATCATCGATATTATGTTATAATTGTGCCCGTGAGAACTTCATGTTTATACATAATTATATGTACAATGCTTTGAAAGTTTTCGGATGTTTGCTGTTGAATTTGTAAATAATGGCCAGGCGCGGATAAGTAGTGTACTCGTAGATCTGTGCATAAATAGGTTGTCGCGTCGCGTTGCGAACTCGGCCAGGGTTACCATGTTGTAAGACGGTGCAAAATCGAGGGATCATCCATTCTGGAGCTTACACGTTAACTACACTAACGATATAACTGCAACTGCCATCGGCGTGCAAACACTGCAATACCACCTTGCCGGGTTCAGCCCGATGCATGAATACGTACCACCATTATTCATTATTGGGTTCATTTATAGATCCTCCCTCATGCTTCATACCCGTTCAACTATCGGGTCCGCCAGCAGAAGTTTGTGTAGTTAGTTCAATTCGTAATTGTCATGAAAGTATTGCATGAAGTAATCAACTAGAAAAATGCTTGAAAGTCCTCATTAATCCCTGATAGTATGGCACTTTAATATCCGAGGATGATGCGAGCGACAACATTGATCGAGTACCTGCCAGCCATTACCGCAGTGGCAGTACGAGTGACGCTTACAGTTGTGTGCTAGCGACTAGTGGCACAATTTTATGTAGCAAGTAGAATTATCGTATATCTTTGGAACGAAATAGTGGTTCCTTCATTAGCACACACAAGTGCCGCGCTTATAAACTTCTTGTTCCAAATCTCATTCATGAATGCGTTATAGAGTGATTGTTTGCGAGTTCGATAGATGAAAACCTTTTGCGATATTCGATGACCTTGGACGCCAAATGATTGAAATAAAAGTGCCATGCTCCGGTCGAACCTATTCCTTCTCCCGAAGATTCCGAAGTAGTGATAGATTCCTCTTCCAGTACTCCAATAGGACAAATGTCACAGAACACTACAGTAAATACAAATTGACATGGATGCGTAGATCGATCGATTTTGCACCGCCGCTTTGTTCGACTACACATTGTGACTACGTGCTTATACAATTATGGATTGTATGTCAAAGTGTAGTGGACGAAGTCGGTACCATTCACATGGAATTATATTCGCACTAAAATGCGCACAATATAGTACAACTTCGAAATCTGGTACCAGTGCATAGTAAAAGCGATTTGAGTGTATGTTTATCGTATTTTTGTATCAGATAAAATCGGTGGTGTAAAATATTGTTCACGCTGATTGCACATTGTATTATATTACTATATCTTGCACTTGTATAGATGTCAGGTACTGTGTTGGCCAGATACCCTTGCGACGCACAGTTTGCACGAAAGCAGCACAGATAAGAAATTGTACATACATTGTAGGAGAGAACAAAGGTTACGCACATAGGTCTTAGGACTCTTCTTTCTTCACTACAGATTATGTAAACTGTACTTTAGCTCGCTAATAACACTGCTTAATCTATGTTCGTTCTTCCATTTATCTGCTTGATTTTTCTAAGCTTTTTGTAACATGAGATCTTATGAAGCTTCTCCTAAACTTATTTTCTAGCTTTATATGTTCTTAACAAGAATTTCTGTATCTTCTACTAGAGAGATTCTCCGCAGTCAATAATAATATAATATAATTGTGCGTTAATATTAGCATATATAACTAAATCTGTAAGTAGAAGAAATAGAATTCATTATTTTTACTCGCATGGGTTTCAACATCTTTTAATGTTAATAATAAGTTCTTCTATATAAAGTGCTACTTTTACCTAATGAAAATAGCACTATAAAAATGTTTAAAATCTTGAGACATTTGTTAGCCAATTTAAACACACTTAGTAACACGTATGTCCAAGGATATCTATTATTGCTACGAATCTTAGATTCTGCTAGTAAAACACCGTCAAACGAAAGTTCTGTAGCAAAATTTACGATCCGTATCAATAAAAGACTGGATTTTAAATCCGGGTCAAGTCATACGTGTTAATAAGTTTTTAATAAATTAATATATAACCGGTAAAGTATATCAAGAGATTTAAATATTCTGTAACTCTTTTTAATATTTTATATGTCAATAGATCTCCGACCTGAACAATCAAGTCAATGACCTTAGAGGAAAGTTGTAAGTATAATACTTTTATAATTTAGTGGATTAGTTTTTCTTTAATTATTTTGACAACTCATTGGTCTAGTGGTTAGTACCCATGACTGCGAATCCAAGGGTCCCGGGTTCGATCCCCGGCTGAGACGAACATCGATGTGATGAGCATTTGGTGTTGTGCTTTGGTCTTGGGTGTTTAAATATGTATTTATATGTCTATCTATCTATAATATGTATGTATATCCGTTGCCTAGTACCCATAACACAAGCTTCACCAGCTTAGCATGGGACGCGGTCAATTGGAGTGAATTGTCTTTAAAAAAAAAAAAAAAAATTCATACTTGTATAACATATAACGTTTTCATGTTATATATGTGCCAGGAGTAGTAGTCTATAATATTATTAAGTTACGAACTATATTTATTGATGTTCTTATGTCTATGGCCGAAAGTGATTGACGAAAGTATTGAAGTTATTTAGAAAAATTTCGTTAATGTTAAGTTAAAAAAGCTTACTACACGTCCTGTCAGAAATGCGTGAATCAGTATCATAAAAAAACTACTGAACAGATTTTGATGAAACTTGGAATCTATTGGAAAATATTAGTAAATAAAAAGCATCATAGGAACATTTTTTTTAATGTGGAGGCAACCGCCACCCATTCACATTGCCAAAAGGTGTGTTGTCGGCCTTTTAAGAATTGGTACGTTCTTTTCTTAGAGGACCCTAAGTCGAATTGGTACGGAAATGCTCCAGTGAGCAGCTGGTTCCACATAGTGGTAGTGTGTGGCAAAAACTGCCTTAAAACTTAATATGACTTAGATCCCTAGAGTATGTTAAACAAACACACGACATTCAGCAAATATTATCTAATTCCAACATTACATACACTTCTTTTGAAGCCTGTTTAAAATAGAATTTTGGATGACATTTTACTTTAAAGCGTCATTAGTACGACAGCTATGAGACATGAAAATATACCGTAACGCTATATTCGTATAATATTCTGACTGTATGAATAATGAGATCCCGGCGTTGAGCGCACTTTACTTCACTCCAGCAAAGGGACTTGTACCGAATCGATTTTTTTTTAATTACTCATGGTACAACACTTTATAATAGCTTTTATTACTTTTGATATTTTCAGAAGACTTAAATATAGTTGACACTAATATTTAGTCTAAGAACAATTCATTAGTGTGGCCAATATGATTTACATAAAAACCAAATATTATTTACAATTATTTAAAATTAATTGCGTCTTATTAATATTAATAAAACTTAATTAATTTTATACATTAATATACGCTCGTAACTTGAACTCTTCTTGGAAGAATTTGATATATTTTTAGGGCCTAAAACCCTCTAATTGGTTTTATATTTATTTATCAATTAAAGTTCACAAACTCATTTCTATGTTCTACGGCACGCAATTATCCAGAGATTATTGGATCGTAAATAATCGTCGTTAATTTATATAAAGTTGTGTTTTATATTGGGTTACGCTCCCGTTAATAAAACAAGTAATTAATATAATCTTTTAATAAGCGATATTTAAGTATTTCATCATTCCTTTTATAGCGTCAAACCTACACTGAAGAAGGTGTCCAAATACGAGAACAAATTCGCCAAGCTCCAGAAGAAGGCCGCCGAATTTAACTTCCGTAACCAACTCAAGGTTGTCAAAAAGAAGGAATTCACCCTCGAAGAAGAAGACAAAGAGGTAAATTTTAAACTAGATTTACCTTCCCTATTTCATCAATAATTCTACAATTTCTTCTTTAAAAAACTTTACTGTACTTTTCATACAAAAAGACAATTAAATGTGTATTTATTATTATGCTTAAGATTCTACTATTTTTCTGTAACATACGAGTTACTTAATTCTCATTTGTTTTAAAGTATAACTGAGTTATATTATTTCATACTCATCTCATCAGTACCTTAATCTTTTGAAGATTTAATAGGTTCTAGTAAAGATTTATTAATATATTACTTGATGCGATACGCTTTTATCAATATTTTAGTTGTCTTTAATATAACTCAATAATTAAAGATTTTCATCTCAATTCTCTATTCTGTAAAAATATAATAAATTTTCAATTTTCTACTTTACAATGAGCACTAACATTTCTACAGGCTAAAAAGGCAGAGAAAGCTGACTGGGCTATCGGGAAGAAGTGATCCCATACAATTCCTTTACCAAGAATACTTTTAATTATCCATTAATAAAATTATCTTATTTATACATCAATTGTTTGTTTAAATGAAATACCGCTCTCGTAACACCGAGGTGAGAATATGAGCGTAAATAGCTTTTTTCGCGGATCCTTCATGTAAATAACCCACAATAATCTTCACAGGCTTTATATGGAGTTCACCTGCAAAGCTTCAAAACACCGCAGTCTATACTATCACTTTGACTAACTGTATATTTATTTAAAATAAGGTCTAGGAAAATTTCTTGGAAATTGTGTGTAAAATGACTTATGAACCTTTAGCGCAAACTTTGCGATTCAAAATTCGAATTGTTTGTACGATAATGTCAATTTCTAACAGAAACAATAGATTTTCCGTATGGTTAAGTAATAATAGATTACGCATAATTCGTGATAAGGGTTCATATGTTAAAATTAGGTCGTCCTTGTCTCATTATCTTATTGTTAAATAATGTTTCACAGGGCGCTGTGGCCGCTAAGGTAACAAGGAGATTAGAATTCGGTAGTGAATAGGCATGACTAGGGTAGAAAAGGGGCCATTAATAGAATGACCGACCACGCCAACTCTGTGGTCTCTCTACCAGAACTAGATTTTAGTATATCGTGGTTCATGGGAGTATTTCATGTACATATGCAGTTAGGTGTAAGTGAATACGAATACGAAACGACGCCGCGTGGCCCAATAAAACATTTGATACGCTATTGAAGTGGACTATACATTATACAAGATACGTGAAGTGTTTTGCAGGACGCAAAAGCAATTAGCTGAAGCTTTTGCGTTTTCCCTTCCCAATTGAAAGTTGTGCGGAGATATTGTTTAGATTTTGGATAATTCACGTGCATATGGGGCACAGCCGCCGCGTTGCACCGCCCATTATCATGGGTGTCATTGCATTAGATCGCTTTGCTATCGGGTTTCATAATTCGCGTTGTTTCGTTTCGTTTTCGCTTACATTGTCTAACAACTCTGAATGTTGGCATATACTTCTTTAGGATCTTATAACGTATAAGATAAAACTTTGTTTTATAGATATGTTTGATTACCTAGCATTGTTTAGATTATAGGTAAAGGAAAATCATTGCTATTATCCCTGGCACTTGCTTTAAGTTTTTTACTAAGGCACAATCGCGCATTGCTGATATGACAAAACTCAATTGATGACATTTTGAGTTTGAATTTATTTGTATGATTAGACATTGAAACCAAATGACTGCTTTTCAAATTTTAAATAATTATTTACAGATTTTGGGCTAAACGAATTTATTACAGCTTCAAAATATTTCCCACAATCATTTTATTTCTTCCACAGTTATTAATATTTTAAATTTTAAAATACCTTTTTTTATAACATAAATATTCTTTATAAAATCCATAGACTAAATATACTTTTTATCCACAATCAATCAGCGGAATCAGTCGTTCGAGTAACTAAATTTCGACTTAGTAAAACGCGATTTGACTTAATGGGTAAAAAATAAATAGTTTGTTATAGGGGTAATAAATCCAGGCTGAATGGAAGTTCTGTGAAAACATAGATTATATAGGTTCTAGAGGTAGGTCGTTAGTGCTGGGACGTATATTGATGGCTAGAGAGTGCAAGTTTGCCCCGGCAGTCATTTGTCTTCAAACTTCCTATGCATCTGCAACTACGGCAAATAATATTAAACTGAAACGTTTTACTGAAAGTTAAAGTTATCAAATCAAGTTGATTTGAGTTTAAATAATGTTTATTAGCCAATTCGCCTGTATTATATGGTTATTTAAGAATTTGGTCGTGTGCATTGTTTTACAAACTATTTTGGCCTTTTAATTTTCGTGACTTCCATTTTTTGAAAGTTGCCCCGTACGTTATTAAATGTTCAAATAATAAAAAAGTTCAATATATATTTATGTAACATCAGGTAAATCGGCTGAAGACTCATCTGATGTTAGTTAAGTGATACCGCCGCCCATGGCCACTCACATTGCCAGAAGGCTCGCAAGTGTGTTGCCGAGCTTTGAAGAATTGGTACGCTCTATTCTTGAATGACCCTAAGTCGAATAAGGTAATGGTTCCACATAGTGGTGGTATGCAAAAACTGCCTTAAGAAACGCTCAGTTGTGGAACGCCGGACGTAGAGATGTACGGATCGTATTTTATATTCTACCTTGACGTCCGATGATGGAATTATATTGTTATATTGTTTTATAACATTATATTCAGTTTGTAAAACTTTGTAATCGACAAAATTTTATACTGTTATTAAAAGCATAGTTGCCGATACATTTTAAGGAACATTATATAAGGCCTTGTAAATACGCGCGAACATTTATTGAGACATCAATAATTAATTTATAATTGTTTTTCAGAAAAAACCTGACTGGTCCAAGGGCAAGCCTGGTGACGCGAAGGTAAAGGAAGAGGAGGTGGAAGCATGAGGTGTTACCTTCTCCCACAGGCCCTAAAACCATTGTCACGAAACCATTTTCCATTCCAAAGGGAAGCATGGTTCCTTGACATATTCCTTCATTTGACAAAACAACCAAGTCAATAACAATATTATTTATTTAATTTTTTTTATAAGTTAATAAATTAATTTCTGTATTACATTTAATTTAATGAATTCCTCACCCCATCTGATTGAATCTTATTCATATAATATTCAGCGTGTGACTCTCATCCCTGAGGTCGTAGGTTCGATCCCCGGCTGTGCACCAATGAACTCTCTTTGTATGTACGCATTTAACATTCGCTCGAAAGGTGAAGGAAAACATCGTGAGGAAACCGGCTTGCCTTAGACCCAAAAGTCGACGGTGTGCGTCAGGCACAGAAGGTTGATCACCTACTTGCCTATTAGATTAACAAATGATCATGAAACAGAAACAGAAATCTGAGGCCCAGACCTAAAAAGGTTGTAGCGCCATTGGTTTATTTATTTTTTAATTGATAAAGCAATTTGGTGGTGTTTTCGCACCATAAAAAAATGTTAATTGGACCGCCACTGCTCTGATCCATATCGTTACATAAAAACCAATATTTTCCCAATTTCAATTTTAATTACTGGAGGTGTTTCTTATTTTATGATATGATACCGTTCCTTATAAGTCCTAATTGATTGAACACCTTGTATGTATGATTTTTGTATTGTAGATATTGAAATGATAATTTTTTTATAAATAATATTTTTTGTATAAAATATGCACAGAGGAATTAGATTTCACGAGAATTCAAAGTAATTATAAATTTCGCTAATTATGTAAAGAGCTGTGTTGCCCTAGTGACTTTAGCGCGCGACTTTCATCCATATGGTCGTAGACTCAATCCCCGGCTATGCACTAATAGACTTTCTGTCTATCTGTGCATTAAACATTCAATCGAATGCTGAAGGAAAACATCGTGAGGTAAGCCGCCTTAGAACCAAAATCCGACGGCGTGTGTCTAGCACAGGAGGCTGATCACCTACTTACCTATTAGATTGACAAATAATTATGAAACAGGGACAGAATCTGAGGCCCAGATCTAAAAAGGTTGTAGCGCCATTGATTTATTTATTTTTAATTATGGTCATGATCAGATAAAATTAAACTAAATCACGTTCTGAATTTAAATAATTAAGATCGAGGATAGTCTGTAGATAAGATTCAGAGACTATTAAAGCGTGAAGACTCCCATGGGATGAAGTTCTCTCTTAAACTTGTTTCTTAATTAGTCTATGTTTAGAGAGGCTAAGTGGAACTGTTAAGGTAACCTAGGTAAAGCTTACTTCAAACAACGGTGTCCAAATTTTAAACTTCAGACGAAAACAATACAGTCATAGAAAAGCTTTATCAAACGCCATATTATACTCAATAATATAGAGTAACTATCTGACCCGGCAAACGTTATGCCATGTATATTATTTCTAGGAAACAGTTTTTAGTTCAATTAAAATAACTATCTACTATAGTAAAAAATAGAGGTTGATCGTAGAGGGGTGACCATCAAAGGTTTTATGTATTTTTGTATGCTGTATCATAAAAATATAAAAACAAAACATTTTGATAAAAAAAATAAAAAATATTTTTTTAGAGTGGACACCCCTTATCACTTAGGGGTTTGAAAGATAGATAGTAGCCGATTCTTAGACTTACGGAATATGCATAAAAAATTTCATAAGAATCGGTCGAGCCGTTTCACAGAGTATGGGAACGAACATTGTGACACGAGAATTTTATATACAGTAATAATGTATTAGTTTAAACCATACTCAATCTGTCCAAGGCTTTCTCTAAGTGGTAGTACAATTTATTGTCTGCCTTACAATGACAAACTGTTGTCAACGTACATAGGAGATACGAAATTGGCAATTTGCTTACACGTCCAAGATGTTTGACCAGTAAGTATATATAGATTGATTGCTTTATTGGCTAAGAAAATTTGAGCTTTTAAATTACAGCTTACAACAAAGGCTTTATTAATAAACAATATGTACCAAAACCACTCAGATAACTGCTTAAAAAGGACTACACAACGTTTAACAATTTCAAATAACAATTTCTTAATACATAAACCTTAGCAGGCAAAAGTCGTACAATATAATTGCATACAAGGATTTTGCTTCAAAAGCGCTTTTATAATCAACGCTTGTAATTTTTGTTTATATATCGATCTCATATACTATGTTGTTTTGACAGACGGAGGCTGAATCCACCCCAGCGACACCAGGTAATAAGGATTAATATATTCAGTAGAAAACAAACATTTTAAAGTGTACTTAGATTCTTAAAAATTACTCTATTTAATGCAGTTTTCATTTCTGTACGGATCTTTATAAATAAAATTTTATATTTACGGGCTAAAGAAATGGCGTAGGCAAAAGCTAATAAGATTTTTCTGTAGATTCACATTATATATTCATTAATAACGAACATTCGAAGTTTAGTTTGTTTGGTTACGAAAATCTGATATTTATTAATACAAAGTAAAATTTAATATTGAAAAATGT